TAATTTTATGTTTTCTTTGTTTATTCTTTTTGTTTTTGTGTTTTTTTTCATTATTTGTTATTTGGTCTTGCATGAGCAAACAAAAGTCAATTTAATTTATGGGTATATTTGTCATTTCATCTTAATAAAATGGAATATTTTGGTATCTTTCTTTAATTTGGCCTTGAACAAGTGGAATTAGTATTGCATATAGCCGCAACCTTTAGGTAATAGTAAGTAAGAGCACGTTAGATATATTGATTAGTAATTTATTAAAATATTTAATTAATTAAATAAATAAAGGAGGTTTCATTAATATTGAAAAAGGACGTGGATCCACTCTTATTATACCCAATGTATTGGGGGTATTCACTAATCATCCCCTTATTTTAACGTTAATATTAATGCTTATTTTCATTTGTTTAGGAGAAAAGAATCATCTTATTAGGCTATATTAGCCAAAGCTGGTGGAAGTTCGAGACCTTCCAAAGTAGCAGAACAGTGCAATTGGGTGAGAGCATTGCCCAAGCCGTTGCATGTTCTCTTAACAAACGAAAAAGAAAAATTAAAAAAAACACTAAGAGAATAAGCACATTCGTCGATAATCGCACCGTACAATAGTAATTCTCCACAGCCTGAGCGAAGCTCCCGAATAACTTGGAGAGAGTCCCCTTCAAGAATAATATCTTCCCATCCGTTTGAGGCAACAAACAAAAGGGCATGATGAGCAGCAAGTGCCTCCCCTTCCACTGGATTGAGATTGCCACCGCAGCTACCACCCCCCGTAGTTCTTCATACCGGATTGATGCATCAAAATTAAGCTTAATATTTCCCATTTCCGGTGGTTCCATTCAGTCGGATGAGCTTGGTTCAAAGTAGGGTCCGGTCATATTGGGGCTAACTTGAATTTCGCAAGGAAGAATCGACACCAATGGAGCTGATCATCAGCTTGTATCCCCTTTTCTTGATGTACCTCTCTATTTCGACGATCCTACGCTTTCCATGCAACAACCATCGCCCATAAAAAATTATCACCATCTAGCTCATGTTTCTTGTCGAGAAGCCACTATCAGGGTGATGTTGGGTAAGAATATAATGATGGTCCAAATGGAGGTTGCAACCAAACCGACTTCAGGCCACTACATGTTGTGATGACATGGAGCGTCGTAGGTAAGCTATTCCCACGTAGGTGCCATAGGAAATGTTTGATCTTGGGCGGTAGTTGAATTTGCCAAATAACCTTCCAGTCACGAGTAATAGTGGCGCTGTTTGACCCATGATTTCCATCTCCACGTTGATTTGATTGTGCAAGCCCGTTGAGAATCATATGGTATGTTGATTCCACTCTGTAATTCCCTTGCTTCGAGTAATGCCAGATCCAAATATCTTTCGTGTGAGGACCCCCCAACGGGGTCTCCAGTATCCTCGCCACATCCACCGGCCAGAAAATAATCTTCACAAGGTTCAAATCCAATGAATTAGATCCCGGTTCGACCAAATCGGAGATCCGATCCGGGAATGCAGTTGATAGTGGCCGAGATGTGAGGATTTTGAAGCTTCCCCCTTCCCGCAGCCATGGGTCGGCCCATATAGAGGTGTCATTGTCGTTGCCAATCCGACGTCGTAATCCCATTTTGAGATACAAATTGTCTTCCAAATGCACCTCCAAGTCGTCGATTCCTAAGCAACCCAATAGACGCACATCACCGCTGTCAGCAGCCACCACCGCCGATCTACTAAGAAAGGAGCATTCAGACGATGACTCGGCCCATCCACGTCAGCATCACCGCCGCTCCGGCAGCTTGCAGCTGCGGCGCTATGTCGTGTGAGAAAAGAGAGAAGGGAAAAAAGAAAAAAAAAACGGGAGACAAGAGAAGACGAGAGAGAGAGAGAGAGAGAGAGAGAGAGAGAGAGAGAGAGAGAGAGAGAGAGAGAGAGAGAGAGAGAGAGAGAGAGAGAGAGAGAGAGAGAGAGAGAGAGAGAGAGAGTAATAATTGAATTAGGGTTCTTCAAGGGTATATTAGACAATTTAGATTTGTTATGAGGATTATTTTAAAGGGGAAGTGGTTTTCTCTAATTACTTTTGGGAGGGGGGTTTTCCTTAACTACATTTTCTAGATGGAGTGGTCTTGCTAATTATCCCATCTTTTAAACTCTATGAATCAAAATTATTATTAATATGGTAAATTCCACTTTCTCCCTTGTACTTTCGCTCGATGTTACTTTACCTCAATCTACTCTCGATTGCATCGATTTGACTAAATGCACTTGAAATTTTGTATCAGTATGGCCTTTCCTGTTAGTTGTTAGACATTTAGAATTAACACCATTCGGTCTAAACTCTGAAATTACAAAAACGCGATCTCTCCCAATTTAAATAATTATTAAAAAACAAAAAAAGAATAAAAAAAAAACAAAAAAATTATTATTATAAAAAATTCAAGACAATGAGAAAGCATAGTCCACGACGGCAGCCATAATTTTTTTTTTTTTTTTTTGTTTATATGTTTTTACTTGTTAATAATTATTTAAATTGGGAGGGGTGGTTTTTTTGTAATTTTCAAACTTAGATCAAACGGTGTTAAAGTCAAAGGTCTGAAAACTAACTGCGAGGTCACATAGAGATAGTTTTTCAAATACAGGGGGGCAAATCAATGCAGTCAAAAGTAGAAGGAATAATATGATATCGAGCCAAAGTATTAGGGGGAAATGAAATTTACCCTTATTAAATTTCTCTTAATTACGCATAATTGACATTTATTTTGTACTTATCTTATATATAAAAGTAAGAAACTCTAATAACATATTTGTAATTTTTCTAATATTAATTATTGGTATTTTTCTTATACACGCCGATGTCGATTTATTTTTATACAATATAATTATTATACATTTAATTTGTCTTCCTTTTTGCAATCACGTCATCGCACGAGGAGAATTGCTAGTCCTTATATATAAAAGAAAGGTTTTGCCCTAAAACCCTAAAAACAGTTTTTCTAAAAAAAAAATTCCTTTATTTTCTCATTTTTATAGTCCATCTTAAACAACTTATTTTTGTTTATTCTTCCATTTTTTCTTTATTTTGTGAATTTCAAAATACACGTTAGTTTTAATTTTTTTTGTTTCCTTTCTTTTCTCCTCCTTTTATAGCACACATACAAACTTATTTATATTTTATTCTTTTTTATACAATACGTTTCTTTATTTTTATTTTTTTCGTTTTCTTTTTTTCTTCTTCCTTTTGTTCCCTTCCACCACTAACTTTTCTCTCTTTTTTATAGCACACATTTTTAAATTATTTTCTTTCTCTATTCTTCTTCTCTTTTTTCCCTTCCCCATTAAACACGATCTACTTTTTTTTTTCTTTTGCACGTTTGTTCTTTTATTATATTTTTTTTTTCATTTTTTTTCCCATCCCAAGTAATCACGATCTACTTTGAATTTTTTTTTCCACGTTTTTTTAATAATTATTATCTTATTCTTTTTTTTCTTTTTTTTTTCCCTTTCCCACTAATCACACTACAAGAAAAACTAGTTTTAGTGACCAAATCCTCAGCGACAATAACTAAATGGTCACTGAATATTCACATTTAGTGACCAAAAGTAATTTGGTAGCAAAAGTCGGAAGGGTTAAATCCTTTTGCGACCGGCGAACATTTGGTAGCTATAAATGGTCATTAATAGTTTGACATCTTTTAGCAACTCAAGTTGAAGTTTGTAGCCACAATTTTTATGGTCACTATAACTTAGTGTCAATAGTGACCAATTTAATTTAACATCATAAAATTTTACAGTTGCTACAAGTCTTTAATTTAATTATTAACAACCATCTAATTGACTTGCTAGTAACCACTTTAATTAATTTGGTTGTTATGAAACTACTTATGGAAATCTAATAGATTTGGTCGGTAATTTAAAGAAAAGAAAAGAATGAAAATAAAGATGGACGGTGAAAATGCAAATAATGGAAAAACACAACCAATTCTCATTATTTCGTTACACGCATTTCTTTCATCCCAAATCATTACTCTGTTCAATCTCTCGCTTACGCTCTCTCACTCTACCAATTCTCGCCTGATATTACTGAAAATCAAGAAAGAATTATCACTTAATTTCTTCATTATACTGCACCAAAATTCCTCTTGTCTTACCTCTTTTGTTTTCCCCAAAAGTATTCGCCTATTCCACCCAATTTCTCCAAGCTGTAACACCCCGTAATTTATGCTTATGCTATGTGTGTGTATATATATATATACACACACACAAGAGTTTATTGTACTTAATAATGAGATTTGGGGCTAATGTGTTATTAGTAGATAAAGTTGGGGGATAAGTATAATAATAATGTTATAAACTTTACAATCAAGTTTTGACATGGTTAATCAGATAATTGAGAAAGAAGTGTGATTAATTGGAAAATTAGAGAGAGACACGTAGAGTATTGGATGAATCAGTTTTCCTTTTCTTTTTTTTTTTTTTTTTTTTTTTTTTGAGAAACAAAGATTTTATTAGGCATAATTAGGCAAATTAGAGGGGAGGCTAGATCCTTCCGTACAACTTAAATAAAAACGAGTAGCAAGACAATGAGCCAAAGTATTACCAGAACGTCTAACAAAGAAAAAATCGCAAGAATCAAACGAGCTAATAAGGGAGAAACAATAAAGGATTATGTGAATGGGTTGTTCTTATAACTTATAAATTGAGATTATGTGAATCATTTGCTGTGATTATTTTCATTAATTACTTGTACGTTGTTCTTTGTCAGCTTGTACATTAATTTATTATTTGATTTTTATATGTTTTAAGGGATTGTGCCTTGTGCATTAGAATACTTGTACTCTCGTCTAAAATAATTTCAAACAAAATTACCCGTCCTAAAATACACTCAACTCTCCCTCTCTCTCTTCGCCCGCCCTAATTCTCTCTCTCTCTCTCTCTCTCTCTCTCTCTCCCTCTCTCTCTAAGTACAGAGCCATTTTCTTATTCAACGGCGAATTCGTCATTTTCTTCCGGCAAGAATCCGCATTTGTGTATTTTACGGTGAGTTTGAGTTCTCCTCTGTGTCACAATTGTAACGGCAAACACGAAATTGGGAAGATTAGGGTTTTCAATTTTTATGTGCCGCAAATTATCTATTTTATGCTTTGATTTTTTATTATTGATTTTTGTTTTTTTTTTTTTCTTTATTTTCTGCAAATTGAGTTGTTTTCTTACTGTTCTCCATTGTTGCCCTAGTTCAAGCAAGAAAATAGAGGAAAAATGGAAAACCATCTGATTCCCCTGTTTCCAGCAGCCGAGACTCTAGAATTCCAATTCAAAACTAACGGAGACGGTGAACCACAATTCATATCCGTTAAAGCAGTCGACGCTGTCTACGGCTCTCCGACCCCAGAGCAAGTAGCTGCGAAGAATCGCAGAATTCTCGAGATTCAGCGAGCTCAAGAGCTGACCAATGGCAGTGCTTTGAACCCCGTGCAGTACAGCGACGCCGTCATCAGGCACCACAGGGTCGTTTCCGCCGCCGCCGCCGCTGCGTCATCATCGTCGTCCGAGCAGATGAGTGCGATGATCGCTCGGATGGGCATAATGGAGGCCCGATTAAACGCAAACAGCGCTAGGGTCCACAACTCTCGATATGTCTACTCTTTGATCGGGAAATCCCCAATTCAAATTATTGGCAGAATTAGGGTTGCGTGAAGAAGGCTTTAGAAAGGGGCTATTATGATCAGATTACCTCCGGTGCTGGTCGCATCAGATGATTGGCGGTGGTGGCCGGAATCCGACGAAGAAGACAAGCTGTCTTAGAATCAGATTTCAGCTTTCGGTCCTTTGAAGAATTAATTGCTTGAAGGCCTTGGGGGTTGAATATTGACCATCAGGGCACACGGTTAGAAACCTTGAGATGTTATCCTTCCATTGGTGCTGGTGCTCGGTGGTATTCGTCATCGGTGGTCGCCGGAATTTGGTGAGAAGTTCAGCTGGTCTCTGGAACTTTAGGGAATGGAAAGCTGCTTCAACTCTTATTAATCGGAGCCAAAGTCGGAGGGTTTGGATTGCGAATTTGGGAATCATTTCTTCTCAAAACTCGGAGAGAACCGCGAGTGTTATAAGTAAGTGTTGCATTATTTCTAATTCGAGCACGTTTTATAGCCTTTTGGAGGTCAGAATCAGACGACCGTGAATCTGTCAAAACAGGGCAGTTTTGAATATTCTTCTTACGGGGCTGTTTTTGCTATGTTGAGCTAATAATTTGGGCTGTGTCTTCTGAGAACTTGTAGATTACATTGTCAGGTTCAATTTGGTGTATTATTTGAACAATTTGGATAACTCTATAAATTGTTATGATTTTTCAAATAAACAGTGCCAGCAGATGCATTTGTTTTAAAACCTGGCAGTTTCATGCAATCATCTTCCGGGGCTGTTATTGCTGTGTTAGGTTGATAATTTGGGCTCAGGGTCTTCAGTGAACTTGTAGATACATATGTTAGCTTTAATTCGATATACCGTTTAGGTTATTCGGATAAGTACGGTGATCTTTAGTTTTATTTTAATATTTTTTTATTGGTTTGAATTGCTCAGTAAATTAATGCAATTGTCGAAATCATGTAAAAACTATTGCAACCAATAAAATGGTCACTATATGTATATAAAATTTAGCAACCAAGAGATATATTATTTATCAACCAATAGATACCGTCACTATATGTATACTATGTAGCAACCAAAAAATGTGGTCGCCAAATATATATCCTATAGCAACAATAAAATATGGTCACTGTAAGTATATATCATTTAGCAACCAAAAATATATGGCCACTATATGTGTTGCTATAGCAACCATGTTAATTGAAAGAATTTATGGTCCCGAATTCGTTTAATACAGAGGTGTTATCTTAAGTGTTATGACACTTGAACAAACATGCAGCGGAAATATAAAGATAAAAGAACAATACTCAGAATTAAAAATGTTCACAAGTAAAGACTTGTGAACTTGCCCTTTACAAGACGGAAAAATATATTAAAATCAGTATTCCAAGAATACAAACAGAAGAGGTGCGAAAACTTCTTCCTTATGAATGAATCATTCTCATGATCATTCTTACATTCAAATCTAGATACAAAAAGAAAAATATTAAAAATTCTAGATTTCAAAGATGTACTCGTGAGGAGTACTTAAAGAACTTATGAATGAATCACTATCTTGATCATTCTTACAACCAAGTCTAGAAACATATATACTGAACAATCTAGACTACAAAGAATGTACTTATGAGAAGTACGTAAAGAATGTACTCATAAGGAGTACGTAAAGATTGTACTCATGAGGAGTACAACCAACCGATCATAAAAACACACTAAAACACTCATGTATTTTTTTCAGCTCTCGGTGTTTTTTTTCTTCGGAATCGATAAAAATCATTGAGTATTGAATCGGTATTTATAGACATTTCAAGCTTCCACTCCTCAGCCCATGATCTGCAAGAAAACCAACCACAAGAGCACTCAAGAAAATGGGTTAGTGGGTTAGTTAGGAAGTTAGAATAAAGTCCACAATTAAATCCACTAAGCACTACTTAGCCCACTAAGCACTATACTTAACCGACTAAGCACTATACTTAACCCACTAAGCACTACTTATTCCATAACTAAAATTTAGTTTAAAAAATAAGAAAGTTAAAAAACACAATGTGGAAATAATCCACATGTTTCAAACTCCCCCTTTTTAACTTTCTGATCAAAACTAAATTTTAGCTTAACTCCCCCTGAGTCATTGCTTGAACTCCCCCTGAATATGATAACCAATATAGCAAATAACAATAATAGTGCAATCCTAGCATAAAAGATCAGAGGGAAAATAACAAACTGAACAAAAACAAATATTGTTCATAAAAATAACTTTAGAGCAGAATATCCAAAGTGTCCTCAGTATCAGCTGCTGCTGTTTTCCTCTGCTCCTTCAGCTTCACCCTCATTCTTTTCTTCTTCTTCATTAACTCCATGTTCTCTGCCTCTGGCATCCAAATGATGAAATGATGAGAAGTCCCTGCTTCAACTTCATGACTAGCTTTTTCTCCCCCTTTTTGATCAGAAAGCGTTTTTCGGAGCATTTCCACCATGGACTGGTGATAGGTAATCTGAGCTAGAGAGTGAGTAAGCTGTTGTAACAAGAGATCTCTAGGAACAGAAACAAGATTGTCAGGGGTGTTGTCAACATGAGGAGCAACACCTTCAGTACCAAGATTATTTTGACCTGATTCAGTTGAGAGAAAATTATCTCCATTCCAGGGAAGATCTTGGACATGAGTAGCCTGGAGAAAATTTTGAGAACCAGTTATCATGCCAAGTGGAGTGTGAAGATATTAAGATTCATCTTGGCCCAAATTTTGAGAAAACATAATGGAGTAGATGAGAGAAGGATACGAAAGATGAGTGGAGGATGAAATTTTCTGGGCAAGATGACCTAAATTATTAAAGAAAAGTTTGCCAACATCAACTTGTAATCCCATCTCCAATTTGTACATGAGTACTGCATGAGTTTTAGTAACCACAGAGACATTTTTGGATGGAATCCAATTCATCACTGTGAGTCTGAACAAGACAAAATAAAATGCAGTGAGTTGAGAAACTTTGAATTTTCTGGGGTGAGCAGGCCAACATTTTAAACGATTGCCAGAAAGAGTCTTACAAACCTCAGAAAAATCACCATAATTATCCTCATCAATCACAGTAGGAGTTTGTAAATGAGAGTTGATAATTTTGGGAGAAAAGGGAGAAAATGGAATTTCACACAAAAACTTTGCCAAAGTTGGAGAATTTTTCTTTAAAAAAGAGGTTTGTAACAGAAGGATCATAAGGACAGGCAATCTCAACTAGACTAAGGATTTTTCTTTGATCACGAAAATCAGTAATCCTATGTCTATTAAACTCATCCTTGGAAATTTTCTTCTCCTCAATGAATTGGCAATTCATGATTTGAGGACTCAAATTTGAATCAGATTCAAAATAAAAGGTTGTACTGAAAACATTGTTTACCTCAAAAGGAGTTGACAGATCATTCCCATCCAATTTCAGCTCTTCTTCCTCAGAAGATTCCTCTTCTTCTGAGTCTTCAAGTTTATCTGGGATGTATGTTGGCTCAGGTGATGCAACACGTGGGGCAGCATTTTCCTGCATTTGAGAGAATTCCTCAGACGAATCACTGTCTGACTCTGAGGGTGGCAATTTTTTGCGAAATGAGACAAGGGGAACTTCCCAGCTATCATCACTTTTCTCTTCTTCTTCAGCCTGGGAAGGTGATGCATCCACTTGAACAGCTTCCTCTGCCAGAGTTTCCAGTGGATCTTCATGTGGAGCAGAGGGTGTTTCTTCAGTGGTGGTGAAATCCTGGGCATCAACAGTGGGAATGTCTACATGCTCAGCAGAAGACATCCCAGAAAAGTCAGGCATTTCCTCATCCTGGTAGGGAACAGCATCCTCAGCAGCATTTTGAAGGGCATTGTCTGAGACAGTAGGTGCGGCAGCATTTTCAGGAACATGTGCAGCAACATCTTCGGAAACAGGATGTTTGAGAACAGGCTGCTGCCATGTTAGGCTGAAGTGTCTCCCCCTGAGTTGATGCTGGTGGAGTTGAGTCGTTGGAGGATAACTCAGTAAAGCTTGAGGAGAGAGCTTGGGCTTCTGGTTCTGCAAAGGTTGGATCTCCTTCTTCATCATCGGTTTCTTCATCAACCAAATGAAGGCCTCTTGGTGAGTTTGGCCTAACTGGAGTACGGCTACCTCTGTCGCCTCTTCTTCCACCTCTGCCGTCTCTGCTGGGAGAATTTCCTCCCCTTCGACGTTGTGACCCAGTAGCATTCAGATCTGGGAAGGGATTCATGTGCTTGGATCGGCGAGTAGGGAACCTTCCTGCAGTGGAAGAAGGACCCACGTTCTGGAAGTTGGCTGGGTCAATTGGATTCAGCTCGTCTCCGGCTCAATAAAGCTGATCGGCATGGCTTCAAGGTTGACAGGATGAACAATGATGGCCAGATTCGGGTCTGCTGGTTCAGGTGCTGCAACATCCTTGTGGACATCACCAACGGCTGGAAGAGGATTTCTAGGAGGAGATGCCATGATACAGTAGATAAAAAAATGCTTCTTGTGCTTTTGATTTTTGAGTGTGAATTTTCGAAAGAGAAGCACGAAATTTATAAGCCCTAATTTTTGCTGAGAAAAATCGAAGTGGATAAGATGAAGAAGTGGGGTGCGTTTTTCTTGGAGAAAGTGTGATTAAAGAGAATAAAACTTTATTTGACAAATTAAGGCAAAACGTGACACATGGCACAATAAGGAGTGGACTTAGTGGAAAATGAAAGACTAACCCATGTACCCATGACCCATATAAATAGGGATAATTCAATAAAAAATAAAATGAAATTAGTAGCACTCACGAAATTTTCACAAAAATAAGAAACACATTTATTAATGATTAATAGTGTGAGAAAAATAACTTGGCTAACAGGCATAGATTTTATTATATATATATATATAATGATAATAATTTTTTTTTTTTTAAACTCTTATTTTCAAGTCAAACAATTCACATGGAACATGATCAAGTGTTCAGTTTGAAGGTTCCTCAGTTACTAAGATATGACTATCAAAATAGAGGAGTTTGACTTATATGATTATAATTGTTCTCTGAAATGTTTACATGAAGCATGATCACGTTTCAAGGTGAAAGACTTCCAGTTACTTATTTAGAGAATAATTCATCACAGTGAAGTCATTATTTAAAGAAGC